TTTCAGCTCGGCGGGGCGGGGTGGGGGAGGGGAGCCGATGACCCTGCGATTTCCGCGCTGGCCCGCGTGTGCCGTTTCGAGCGCTTTCTGCACCAGGCTTCGCTTCAGACTTGAGCAACCCTGTGGAAAAAAAAAAAAAAAAAAAAAAACCACCACCCAACACGCCACCCCCTACGGCAGGAATTCCTTCACAGCGTCACCCAGCAAATGCCCCTTTTGTCCGCCAACCGCGGCCCGGGCGCGCAGCTGTGCCCGAAAGCGGGCACGCGGCGGCCTCGGCGCGGCCCTGCCAAAGTCCTGCGGAGCCACGTTCCAACATGGATGTGGCAACGCCCGCCGGACGGGCAGACGGCCCCGCGCCCGGCGGCCTGCGGCGGGGCCCTGTCCTCCCCGGGGGTGCCCGGGGCCTCTCCTCCCCCCCGAAAGAGCGCGGTGCTGCGGCGGCGGGGGAAGCCGCTCGGCTGGCAACCCAGCCGGGGGGCCGTCTGCCGTACCCCGCCTCGGTGGGCCTGCCGGAACGGCCTCGACCACGTTTTCTTTTCCCGGAAAGAGCCTTGACTCGCACCGCGGCTCTCCCGGCACCATGGCTGCTCGCCGCCCTGGGCGATCCAAGGCACGCTCGGCACGGGGACCGAGAGCTTCCCTACCAAAATCCCCGTCGCCACCTTTAATGGCTGCGCGTGATCCACGCGCAAGAGCAAAGGGAGAATAAATGGAGCCCGTAGCCTGCCTTATTGATGAGATACGCGTAAATGGCTTTGTCATGCAAATGTGGCTCTAAGCCACTTTCATATAAAGCCAGCTTAATACTGAGTAGCCCGTGATCCTCGCTGTCCGTTAGGCAGTGCCTGCCCTGTCCTTGGAGCGACGGGAATGAAGACATCGGTACCGATGTGTGCTCCCTGCCTGCATACCGAATTGGTATGACCTTAGGCACAGAAAGAAGTCTTCCTACCTGCCCCAAAGGTCTCTCTCTTCCACGAAACTAAACTAATTTCCCGCCGACCCTTCCCTGCTGCCCTCAGACTGTATCCCTAGTGCCTCTCCGTTCCAGTCCTAACTACCCACGGTAATTACCTGCATAGACTGGGTTTCTGCTGTCTCGAAAAACATTTTATTTCTTTTTTAGCCTGTCGTCCGCGCTTGGTATTAACTTTCAACAACAGCCAGCAGAGTGTGCTCTGAACGCTGTGAAAAGGACGTCCTGCTACTGACTGGGAGGGTGGGTTGGTTGTTGGTTTTTTTAATAATTATTTATTTATTTATTTATTTATTTTTAAACGCAGATGAAGACATTTTAAGTGGTTCAAATTTTTGCACGAGTGGTAGGTAGTTCCTCCCGTCAGTTAAAATACTCTTGTCGCAGATCACAGAACCTCTTCCTTAAAAATTAACAACTGAGTCATACTAAACTGTCCTCTTTCAGCAAAATTGCTTTTTGGTGTTTATGGTATAAAGTTGGAAAAGTGCCACAATGAACATGTCCGAATACCTTTCACGGTCAAAGAGAAGGGTCTATAACAGGAGGTATTTAATAGATGAATATATAAATTGCAATCCTGGCCTACAGGAAGCAGCTTATGAAATAGTACAGTATGAGCATCTGTTTACTCCAGACTCATTACTCTCTCCTTTGGACTTACTGACGGTGGAGTTACAAAGAGATTAATAAATACATTAGAAGTAAGTAAAACAAAAGTAATTTGAAGCAAAGTGTTTACTAGACAACTTGGAGTGGTTTGCTTGGAAAGCAAACACATGTATCCTTGGATTCCTTATTTTACTCTGGTGCCAGTCTTTTCTCCCTTGTTCCGCAGGAGCAGAAATTTAGGGAAGAGTGAACTTCTGAGTTGTGCTTGGGGGTTAACAAATAGTTCTGTATCATTCACAAACCAAAACCAAAACTGCGTTGAAGTGAAGTCGAGTTTGGGACCCTGTGTAAGCGTTTTAAGGGCAGAAGGACATTGTTACTATGCAACCAAACTGGAATCAGGATTAAAAGGAAATCAGAAGATATAAACAAAAGCAAATTCACGGCAAGGCACTCAAACAAAATTGGCTGTGGGCTGCAACTATCCATGCAATGCAGCTAGTGTTTTAGTAAGTGAAACTGTTTTAGAAACATATACTAGAGGTTTTCTTCTTTTTTCAGGATCAATCTGACGGCGCAGTCACAGCACAATATTCTCCCCAGCTCTGCTTCCGACCAGAATGAACCAAGTACAGTGCTTCTGACTTTCATGGTCATGAGAAGGTAATAAAACTAATAGTTATGCATTAGCAAGGGGTTACAAACTATCTCATATGCGCTCCTCTGGTCATGTGATAATACTCATGTTTAATATTAAACACACCTGGCTTAACGGGTGCACATGAGTTAATAATCATAATGGTATCTGTGTTTTAGACAGTTTTTCAGGTGCTGTATGCCAAGTAATACTTGATATTACTTGGCTGCTGGTAGCCATGTATTAAAAAGTAGCTGTCATTAATTGGCAAGTGTAGACATGCATTATTTCATAGCCACAGAGAACAGCATCAGTGAGTAGCTGAGTGCAGGGAGGCAGCTAAGCAGAGCTTGACAACTCATCACTCCCTTGGAGAAAAGGGTGAGCAGCAAGATGAGAATGTTTGCTGACTATACAAAACTTCTTTAAGTTAGCAGGGGTAAGGGTCATCTGTAAAGAACTGTGGGTGACTAGACAGTAAAAAAGTAGATTAAATACAGGGCAGATAAATGCAAGATGATGTATGTGCAGAAACCTAGTCCTAACTTTACATAAACCATAGTGATATCTGAATTGGTTGCTGCCACTCAGGAGTGAGACTGAGTATGTGTGGCCTGCATAAACACCAGCTTGGTGTTTGGAAAAGCAAGGCACGTTTTAAGGAGAGGGACGGAGAACAAAACAGGGAACATATTTATGGCACTCCACAAATCTCTGGTGAGCTCGCACCATGAGCACTGTGCCCGGTTGTGTTTCCTGCTTCTTAGAAAGGAAATACTGGAACTGGAGAAGGATAACAAGGATGCTTAGCTGTCTGGCTTCGTGTCCCTTGAAAGGAACAATTGAGTAGGCTCAGAGCTTTCCCTCAAAAGAAATTACTTAGGGGGGATATGCTTAAGGCCTGTCACATCCTAAGTAACTTCAAGAAGGTAGGATGGCAATTGACTTTTTGAGTACAAACCATCAGATTTGCTGTAGTGGGAGCCAGGCTCTAAACAAGAGATGGTTCTCTGCGCAGTGACATGGGGGTGGGTGCGTGCAGTGCTTTTCTGAATGGCACAGTGGGTACAGCATGTTTCTCTGGGGTGCAGAGGAGATGGACGAAGTATTTGAAAGAGGGCTGTGTTGAGAGTTAGTGAACGAACACCCGCTCAGGCTCAGGAAATCCCCAGAGCTGAAAGCGGTTGGAGGCTGTGGGAGTGCTGCAGATGAGGTATCGTGTATTTGCCTTGTTTTTCCTCTTCCCTTGATGTTTGCCTGTGGCCTCTGGTGGAAACAGGACGTTGGGCTGAACAGGTTCTTCATCCAAGGCAGTACACCCCCTTCCTCTGTATTCACGGAGAATCACGCTGTAACTGCTACTTAAGCACCTGGAGCCACATAATAGCAAGTAAGTCTGTGTGATGGGGTCTTTCAGTCCAGATTCAAGGCTCATCTATACCAGGGCCTACTTACAGAGCAGCTGCTGTGCTGTGTATTTCCATTTTGCTTCATAATACACACATTTCTCTGTGTCCACAAAGTCTTAATAGCAGTCTGCATACAGTTGCATTGCAGTTGCATACCTACAACCAAACCATCTTTTTGTCCTCCCTCAGTAAAAATACTCGTTTCATGAGAAACAGATCTAGCAAAGTCTTAACTTTTCTATGGGTTTGTCTTTTGAAGGGAGTGGCTGTGGAGAAAAATTTCTTTACCTCTCTCCCCTCCCCCTCCCCCCCTCCCCCTTCCCAT